TTTTATTAACAATATTTATTGACAGATATCATAAATTTAATAAGTAGCAGAGGTGCGTCTACTAATTTGACTGTTTCATTCCGTAGAATTTGACTAATTATAATTAATGACTGCTAATAATTATTAGTGACTGCTTTGTCGCTATGACAATAATTCAAATATGACTTATAATTAGTCATTTTTGACTTATTCATCTAAATCAGACTAAATCAAAATATGTCTAAAACAATAACTCGTCTTAAACATTTTTAAATTATGTTTTATATGTATTTTTTTAATAAAAAATATTTTTCTTACTACCTCGACTCAAAATACGTTGTTTCGTCCCCGATTTCACGGCAGAAAGTTTACGTTTCTTGCATTGGTCAAGCTATACGCGCACACTCTAATAGCGGGAGTAAAAATTTTTTAGTCGTGTGCTTAACATTCAAATTTCGTACTGCCAACATGAGAAACACAAAAATATGACAGTTTTAAACCACAATTTTGCAATTATAACAACAAATAAACAATTAATGTATTTACTTTTTTACTTTTTATGTTGTTTTAAGTGTTTAATGGTACTTTTATTTGTTATAAAGTAGTAATTTATTAATTAAAATACAACGTTTTATTTTTACTGTATTGGCACCGCTGAATTCACGGCCTACTGTTATTTATTTATCAAGCTCTTCAAATGGAGATAGGTACATAAATACACATTTAATTTTTTCCCGTATTTTCGGCCGGGTTGTATTTTCGGCCGAGGTAGTAAGAAAAATAGTATACACTACACGGGCAGAAAGTGTGAGAGTCCTGAACTGCGCGCCATGATGCCCTCGGCTTCGCCTCGGGCATCATGGCGCGCAGTGCAGGAATCTCACACTTTCTGCCCTTGTAGTGTAATATACTATTAATTTATAAGGGATAATAAGGTAAGTAAGTAAGTATAGTATCTAGTAATAGGCGCCAAAATTTTAAGTGCCTAAGGCGCTGGATTGCCTTAAGCCGGCCCTGTTAGTACCTACAACATTATTTTAATAAAATAGTTATAATTGAATAATACAATACAACCTGGTCATCATTGTGAAAAGTATGCATCATAACTTGACTGTTAGAGCAGCCCACAGCACAGCACAACACCATGTTAATGTTCAAATAATGTGGCAATATATAAAAAATAGAGTACACAGATAACGATAAATCGCAATTTTAAAAGTTTTTAAGCGTACAGAACAAACCAAATAAACACAATATGAATTTACAAAACTTTACAAAATTTATCAAACTGAAGTTTGTTGATTTCGTTACCAAGCAACCGTCAAGATTAACCGCCGCTCCTGCCACATGCAACTCGAGTGTAAACTAAAACCAAAGTCGACTAGACAAAAATGTGGATTTTGTTTGTGTAAGGCGAGTGCACAGGGCATGGTATTAATACGCAATTGCGTTGACATCAAAATCTAAACTGCATTTATAGAAAACTAATCTTACTTTCAGTTATTACTACTCTTGTCATTATGACAGCGAAAGAAAAAATGGTCATGGTACCTATTTGCTACTTAAAAATTCACACAAGGAAAACCAAATTATGTTGTTTGAAATTCCGTGTCCATCATGATGTAGTGCACTGTAGGTCAATATAGGTATAGGTATATCGATGATCATCGACTTTTTGCCAAAGTATCGCAAGCAACATAACTCAAATTTCGGGAATTGAAAACATTTTTTTTATTTTAAACCATATATAGCCTATAGGTTTTATAACAAGTAAATAGCTATAATTATAAACTATTTACTTGTTATAAAACCTTTACGCCATATTTAATTTAAAACAGACTTTAAGACAAAAAATGTTTTCAATTCCCGAAATTACCTATGTTGCTTGCAATACTTTGGCAGAAAGTCATCGATATGACCTTTTTAAACTTAAATATTGTTTTATAAAATAATTCTTGACTTTTTCACGGTTTTATATTTTAAAAAATTTTGTAACGTGTATAAAATAATTCTTGACTTTTTCACGGTTTTATATTTTAAAAAATTTTGTAACGTGTATAAAATAAGTATCCAAAATATTCGAGTTTGGCGACAAAGGAAGCAGGGGATAATATCCCCGCGGGTATTATAAATCTTGGGTAAGATTTAAATTTAAATAATCAAATTTAAAAAAGTTTGGAACATACACGTGCACGACTCTGTGTAATTAATAATAGTGGTAATTTGATAGTAAAAAAATATAAAATAAAAAAATCTCACGTGAGATTAAGGGAGGGAGGAGGGGGTCGAGTAAAATCTCACGACATCTCACCAAGGGGAGGGAGGGGGTCGAAAAATCGCCAAAATTGCCTCACGTAATTAATGGATGCTTCCATACGAGCAAAGCTTGCGAGCGAGTGTTTAATAAAAACGAGTGCCTGGAAAAGTTTATAAAACGAGTTGCATACTATACTTTATCTACGACGAACACAAAGAAGAAATTAAAGCCAATTTTTCTTTTTTTCAAGGCCTGCCAAGATCTAGATCTTTGCAGCTGCAAATCGGTCGAAATTTAGAGATTGACCATCAGACAATTTTCCGATTAAGACGTGCCCCAAATACCTTTATACAAAGTTTGAGCTCAATATATACCTTATACAGGGTGAGTCAGGTGGAAAGTGAAAAATTTCAGGGGTGTATTCTACGCATAAAAACAATAAAAAAAACTTAAATGTGGTTATCCGATTTTTTATTGTTTTTGAGATACAAGATTAAAAAAAAATCCTCTACAATAATTTACCTACACAATATTCTAATTATTGTTTTCTTATTCTTATAATATCAAGAAATACTTTGACGTATAACAGGTGACAGGTGATATATGAAAACGTCAAAAAGCCACGTTGCCGGATTCAAATTTTTTTAAATTTTTTAATCCTTTTTTTATAAAATTTAAAACTCAGTGATAAATTTTAAGGTTGTATTCTCTCTGCTGTCTTTGTAATGCTTTAAAGATGAATAAACTATTATTATTATTATTATTATTTTTAATATTATTATTGTGCCCAGGAATGTACTGGGATTTTGTGGCTCGTAATTGAAACACATACTCCCAAGGAAAATAAAACTTTTGCAGATTACGAAACTTGACTTAGGTGATACTTTGTCTTCAACTTATTCCAGTTGAAGCTTTAGTTAAAGTTAAAAATTAAAGAATAGCAACTGTAATAAAAGTAACAAATTCCTAGAACCTATTTACTATACAGGGTGTCCCGAAAATAGTGTTCAATACTTAACAAGCGGTTTTTAGGACCAGGAGGTATTTTAATAGTTTTGGGACCGTGGGTTTAAATTAAAGTTTTTTGAAAATACTTTGTGATAATGATAAACCGATGAACTTCGAGGCTTGTTTCGAATAAAAACCCAAAGCACCCTTTGCAAACTGGCAAATTTTTTAAAAATGTACTGAAAATGACAACAAACATTTTTAACCCTGGTATTCTTAGGCTCTTTGTAAAACCTTAAACAATGGTTGGAAAAGTGGATTTTTTATTTTTTTAATTGTACGTCGGTGATTTTTGTATATATTTTTTTCCTTAAATTTTTTTCCAGGCTAACTGTAACATTAGGACTTCCTGTATACTTTAAAGTCAGTGGATAAACCTGCATGCTGTTTGTTTTTTCCCAAATTTATTACAAGTTAGTTGTTTAAGAAGTAGGTAATTTAACAATTTTTCAAGGATTTTATTTTCTCTTGAAACTATTTTGAATGATTTTTTTCAAGATTTTTAAAAAACGTTGCCAAGGCATGAGTTGTCGACGATTTGGCCCTAAAACCGTACGGATGTGCAAATAATTAATTTTTATTATATAATTTAAAAATATATTTTTCAATAATATTGAAAAAAACGGAAACTAACGATACCTAGGTAATTAATGAATCACCCTGTTTATTAAACAGTGTTTATACAGGGTGTCACTAGTTTAAAAACATTGTATGTCCAAATGGTGCTTCCTTCCAAGATACAGTGGCGGCTGGTGAATTTTATAAAATACATATATGTATACCAATATCTCAGTTCTTAGACATGGGACCCACACCAAATTTATAATAGTTTATAATGACATTAAATAGACAAGTTCGGCGCAAACAGAATTTAAATTGAAGTTTGCGAAAAAAAGTTACTTTTTCCTGTTGCCTCACCCGCCTCCAGGCCCCCCTATTTAAGATAATTCAAATTAAAGTGGTGCAATTTATTATCTACTCTAATTTTTCGACAAATTTAAAATTTTATTTAAAAAATCGAAATATTACAAGTTTTATACCATTTTAAATATTTTTTTATTTTAATAAAAAAATTATTAAAAATTTAAAATTGAATAAAATCTGTAATATTTGGATATTTTAAATAAAATTTTAAATTTGTCGATAAATTATAGTAGATAATAAATTGCAACACTTTAATTTGAATTATCTTAAATAGCAAACTTCAATTTAAATTCTGTTTGCGCCGAACTTGTCTATTTAATGTCATTATAAACTGTTATAAATTTGGTGTGGGTCCTATGTCTAATAACTGAAATATTGGTATACCCAAAATCCACCAGCCGCCACTGTTAATAAGTAAGTTTAAGATTTATAATAATTTTTAAGAGGTTCTACAAAAAGAAATTTTAAAAAAGCTGAAATTTAAAATTTAATTTTTTTGTTTTTAATTGATTTCTAATAATATTTTATTGTACAAATAATCCACACAGAGCATTATTTTATAAAAATAATTTATGGCGACAAAGGAAATGCTCGCTAGGTATTTGCGTCCAGTTTTGATTAATGGCGAAAGAAAGTGCAGAAGTGTGTAACTACACTGGATTGATGACGATAACTCCACCAACCGACACTAAAACACTGTTAAACCCCACCCCGAGAATTCACTCAAAAAAATGTTAAATTTTAAAATTATTTTTTAGCATGATGCCCCCCTCCGACGCATGCCTACAAGCAACATGGGGCATCTCATGGGAAGTGTCTTCCGAAGAGTGTTATTTGTTCTTTCTTTGGCGGCGACAGAGGTGGCGGTCCAAAGCAGTCGGAGGAGGCCAAATCATCAAGCATCAAGCGCACTTGTGGCCCGTCAACCAAGCAACAACCATCCATCAGAACGCATGGGGCATAGCGATTCCAGTTTCGCGCTGCTCTACACCTTGTGGCGTTAGCCGGAAATGCTGGTTTCATTGCTTTATTGGTGAGTACATGTTTTTAAGATTATTTTTAAAATAATTTCTATTCTTGTGTAATTTTTTTTTTTTAATTTTTACTAAAATTTTTTTGCTCATTGTAAATTTCTTTATTTTTTCTTAAATATATTATGCTATTGCCTATTTAAATGGTTTTGAGTAATTTTATAATAATAATTATTATTATTATTATTATTAGTAATGTACTGTTACATTATGCACGGAGAGAAATGTATAGTAAATTTTAGATATTAAAAAAATTATAGTAAAATTTACTTTAACAAATATTTAGGGTAACAATATTATATATTCGTCAATACAATAATAAGATTGTAATACAAAATACTATTTTTTATTATACAATTTTAGTAAAGATTACACCAATATTACTAAATCATAAATGTATATATGTATATATATATTTTAATTTTTAATATGTTTGTATAGTAAATTAATTTTACTATCTACAAATAGTAATATTTACTATGTGATTTAATCAAATAAAGGTGTACATCTAATATTATACAGGGTGTCCGGGAAAAGGAGGTCAATCCGTTAACCATATATTCCTTGAGTTAAAACAATAAGACTTTCATAATACCATTTTTCAATTTAGAGCTTCATGTTCGATATACAGGGCGACAAAGTTTGAAATTTAAAACTGAGTTTAAATTCGGTACACTACTTCAAAATAAATAGTTACATTTTTTGAGACCAACAAAACAAAAAACAATTGTCAAATAATCAAAATAGGGGGGTCCAGTACTCACTGACTCCCCCTATTTTTTAGTACGTGCGCCAATGACTTCCAAACGGAATTTTTTCAGGTAATCATTTATTGTTGAAAATGTTTTGTCTCTTATAAAATTTTGATAAAATGATTTGTTTTAGAGATAATTTGTAAAGTATTGGTCAGTCCATATCAAATTAACAAAATTTAATTTTTTTTTTTTAATGTAGGTCATGTGATATATCATAAAAAAGTTCTCTAATAGGCCTTTAAAATAACCCATCACTCACCTTTCTACTTTTAATAGTTTACGAGATATCGCTATTTTTGTAAGTACTTGCAAGACCCAAATTTATCGGAATTTTTTGATTTTCAAAAATCAATAAAACAAAAACCACCTATCGAAAAAAATTCATATATGGGATTTTTGAGTTTTTTAGTGAGGTAAACAAATTTACCAAAAATGATCAAAATCGGAGATGGTGGGGGAAGAACCTTTGGTTGATTTGATATGGACTGACCCATACTTTACAAATTATCTCTAAAACAAATAATTTTATCAAAATTTTATAAGAGACAAATTTTTTTTAACAATAAATGATTACCTGAAAAAATACCGTTTGGAAGTCATTGGCGCACGTACTAAAAAATAGGGGGAGTCAGTGAGTACTGGACCCCCCTATTTTGATTATTTGACAATTGTTTTTTGTTTTGTTGGTCTCAAAAAATGTAACTATTTATGTTAAAGTAGTGTACCGAATTTAAACTTAGTATCTTATTAATTACTCGAATTATTAAAAAAAATCAGTTTTAAATTTCAAACTTTGTCGCCCTGTATATCGAACATGAAGCTCTAAATTGAAAAATGGTATTATGAAAGTCTTATTGTTTTAACTCAAGAAATATATGGTTAACGGATTGACCTCCTTTTCCAGGACACATTAATAAAAAATATACTTAGTAAAAATAAAGATACTTTTATGTTTAAGGTAAATAAACAATATATTTAAATATAATATACAATATAGTACCTAACCCATGACATTTAAACATTCAATTTTCTTAGTTTCTTCAATAAACTTTCTTGACCCATTACTGGTAATACTTATAAGAAAGAATTGAACCTATAGTTGCCCTGGTTGCATAGTATGTACCGATTGCGGCAAAGGCCACGTCGCGACGCGTCGTTAGACGGTGTGGATCACGTGATGTTCTTACATCTCGCCTCTGATGGCTTACCAACCATGTTATATAAGCTCAGGTATTTCTTTGTTTTGGGTGTGTTCCACTACTACAAGTTTCTCGACAGTGTCGTGTCGACACTGATGATACCCAATATAGGTCAAAACACCTGTCTGTCGGTATTTGAAGTTGATGGAACGCACTCAAAACAAAAAAACTTTGTTTATTAAAAAGTACAATAAATATGTTACAATTTTTAATTGTTAACATATAAAAATATTCGATTTTAAAATATTTTATATTTAAAATGGCAACATAATATTTTAAAATTTACTATACTTATTAATAATGGAAAAAATCTAATTATAATAGGAATTAAAAACAAAATTGGTTGAGAATATTAATATTTTACCTTAAGGTTTAACATACATGGATATTTAAAAAATACTAAATATGCATAGTATCTGGCAAAATACAAGATAGTTGTCCCAAATAGTAATATAAATTATAGTAAAGGGTATTATAATTATGGTAATCAGCATTATACTTTTCTCTCCGTGTGTACGTATGGCAAGCAGATTGTTTTATTTTCAATATCTCTTCAAATAATATTTTTGCAATGCAATACATTTACAATAGTATACACTATACTTTTTTACGGCAAATATTAATATAAAAAATAATGTATTACTAAAGTCAAGTCAAATCCAAGACGGACTAAAACAAAAAACGCCAGACGCGTGATCAGTCGTTTGCAGGTGGATAGAACGGTTGTTATTGGGCGATTCTGAGTTGTGAAGCGTGCCGAAAATTCTTGCCAGGGCCGCATTATGACCATTGCGGTTATTAATAGCGTATTGTTTGATTACTTCCTTGTTTTCCTTCCTTCCTTTGTGGTTATTTTTGTTATTGTTTTATTATCAATACTTGTTATATAACGTTATTTGTTGTTATTGCTATCATTGTTTTGGTTATTTGGTTTTTATTGTTATTATTATTATTCAGTTAAGTGCGATGTCTAGCACAGACGAAGCTGAACATTTTGAGGACTTAAGCCCAGTTAAAAAACGGTCTAAAAGAAATCACTTAAGTGTGGAAATAAAAGAGGTTGTTATAAATGTTTTCATTAAACTTTAATTATTAAAGTTTAAAACAATAAATTTAAAATAATTTTCAAAAATTTCGTGAAGTTAATTTAAAAAATATAATTTTTGTAAAAAATTTAAAAAGTTTACATTAAAGTTAAAAAAAATAAATTTAAAATAATAATGAAATTATTTCCCAAAATTTTGTTAATTTCGTAATTTAAAAAATATAAATTTTATAAATATTTTAAAACCTTTCCATCATATTAAAATAATATTGATTCAATATATTTGAATACGGCCCAGTGCAACAATTTTCGTCGATCACGTGAATAGAGCATGGACAACGCATGATTGTGTTTATGTAGAGTCCGGCTTGGATTTGACTTGACTTTAATTAGGTAATTTAAATACGTTTTTGTATATATAATCGACAAATTAAAAATAAAAACACCTACCTACAAAATTTTCTACAAAATAGTTTAAAAATTTATTTTTTAACTCAAAATCATTGATAATCAAAAAATATTTTAAATATAAAATGCAACTGTTAAAGTTTAAGTTTAAAAATATTGATTTTTAAAAATTGTAGTTTTAATATTTTATCCTGCAAAATTATAGATTTAAGTTTTTAAAGAGTCGTTTAAATGATAGTCGATAAATTTTTAATACAAAAATTATTTCATTAAATTTAAATGTTAGTTTTAGAGTGGTAATTTTTGGATTAAAAGCAATAATTTTTCTTTTTTACAATTTTAAATTAATAAATTTTTGGCACAAAATTTATAACATTACTTTTAAATTTAAGTCGATACTTTTAATTTACAAAGTGTAAACGCAGCTTTAGCAGACAGCATATGCTGCGCTTTGTACAGGGAGGTCCACTTATTTCAAATACTACTGGAGTTAACAAAAAATTTGTAGGGCAAATACACTGTTGTTCATAAGTTAGGGAACCCCCTTTATAGTTAAGACGCCGGTATATTTACTTTTAAATAAGGCAACTTTTAAAATTTCAAATTAATATATTTTTATATTATAACATTATGAATAAACTGGTATTTTTGTATGTTTTGTTTAATTTTAAGGTATTTTACTAAACTGAAAATGCTCTGACAAAAAAATTAATTCGGTTGTAATTTTACAGAAGGTTCCCTAACTTTTGAACAGCAGTTTATTATGATCCAAATAAAAAAATGTAAATATTATATTTTTATTTATAGAGGGTGTTTGGATTTCCCTGGGACGACACCAACTTTCTTATTTTCAATGGAACAGCCTGTATTTTTTGAATTTTTAGAGTATACTTTATAAATTTATTAATCAAAAAAATATTTATACTTTTTGAGTAAATTTTTAAGTAGTTTTTTTTTTTCAAATGTATACATTTGGTAAAACTTCAAAAGGAACAAGTTAACATAATTATTTTTTATCTTATATTATTATCCATCTCTTTAAGTAAGCTTCAAGTAAATTATATATTTTTTTCAAATATTTTACAGGGTGTTTTTTTAATGAAACCTCTTATATATTTTTGAATATATAAACATAATTTTCTTTCTTTTGACATATATTTATATGTATGGGACATACATACACCTAAGGGTGAATCTCTGCAAATTAGACAATTTATATTAAAATTTTGGCAATTATATAAATTATTACAGTTAAAAAGTTGTTGTTGCTAGATTAGTCCAATAGCATAAAATAAATAAAAATATAGTAATTTCACGATGATTTGACGGTTACTTTCCTATTTTTTTGAAATAATTTCCTATTTTAAAAATGAGGGAGTGATAGTAGGTGTGAGGGAGTGACAGTTTAAAAGGTTTGACAAAAGAAAAGTAGTTTTTAAACATAATACAGTATTTATTAGAGAAAAATACAAAGTTAAAATAACTAATAAATTCAGTTATACCCTCAAACTCGTCGGGGGGTAATGAATGGATTGATCTTCCAGTATATGATAGTAGTTGTGGAATTGCATTCATAACAGATAAAATGCTCTCAACATTAATAACATTTGAATCTTTTTTATTGGGCCAGGGGAATCTGTTAGGAGCAATATCTGTCATAAAATTTACTCACATTTTTTCTGTTGGTTCCTTATTTTCAATTATTTTTTATTCAGGTATCTATGGTTGATCGTACACAACAGTGTTATTAATAGCTTAATACATTTATAAATGATTTAGCTATTAATCAGTGGGTAGCTGTTGTGTACGATCAACAGAGGATACCTGGAATAATTCAAAATTAGGAACCGACAGGAAAAATGAGAGTAAATTCTATAAGTTATTGGTCCTAACAGATTCTCCTAGATTATAATAAAAAAGATTCAGATGATATTAATGTTGAGAGCATTTTATCTGTTAGGAGTGCAATTCCAGAACTAATATCATACACTGGAAGATCAATCCATTTATTATAAATAGGGGTAATTACTGAGGCTGCTATTTTTTTAAATTTTTTGTTTTTTTGGTACCGGATGGTTTCAATTTTAAAGCTTTATTATTGTTAAGTCTTAAATGAGATTTTGGATAACCCCTTCCCAAATGAAAATGAATACATGGCATTGATTTTAAATAACAATCGAAACAACTAAGTTTATTAAAAAATATGCAGTCATCTTCTTTTCTGCATATAACTTGATGCACATTGGTGGTACCCGAGAATGTGGACGCTGAAATGCCAGAAAATAATAGCTCTACCTGTTGTAAAGCGTTAGCAGACAATTCTTGGATATATATTCCCGGACAACGTTCCTTTAAAATGTCTATTAGTTGGGAAATGTTAGAAATGTCTTTTCCTTCCGCTACTGCCTGGTCAGCGGTCCTCTTTAGTGTACCTCCAACGCCATCGGCGGCCCCTTTCCCATGACCCGCTTCAGAGTAATTCCAGGTTAGGATTTCAATGTTTGGTAAAAAATGGTTTGAAAACGATGAAATAACACGAAACATAAATCGATTTCTGTATTGTGTTGCTGGTCCGTCGCTAAGAAAGTGAACTGCAGTTATATCTTCTATTTTATTTTGGTCGATCCAATCAAAAACTATTTTTAAATGTGCCCATATAGCAACATAATCGTGTCTAAGAGATGTTGAAATTGTACAAAACGAACGTGGGGTAACTTTTTCTTGATTATTTTGTATATAAATGACACCAGTATGTAAACTTATTTGCTCCCTCGAGCCGCCAAAATGTAGGGATTGTACTTCCTCGCCATACTTACATGAAAAATTTTCGCTAAAATCAACATGGATTATTATTTCATTTGACTTAAGAGACGTTTTTAATGACGACATTGCATGGTACTGATGAAGGATGTTACCAATATGTGTCAGAAAAGGAATTAACGTAACTTGCAGTTCATGGAACAAATTAACCAGCGTGATGGCAATGTTTGATTTTGTGGTCTTTCGGATTAATTTCTCTTGTCCTTTTACGGTACATTTACTTGAAACTGTTGTCCACTTATTGTAAATAATTGTTCTATCTAAAAACTCTTTTTCTTTTAATTTTTTATTGCAGCAGTAAATACAGTTTCTGAAAAGGCATTCGGGTTTTGGAGGCAAACAGCAAAGAAGATTGACAACGTCAGTAGTAGAACGAGTTTCTATAACTTTTGCTTTATAGAGAGCTGATACAATATACTCAAAATTTAAATGTTTTATACATCTGCATGTCTCTCTATCTTCTACTTTTGGCTTTAAAACCCAAAACGGTTTTAGGCGGCAAAAAGACTGGTAACTCACATGGTAAGGCACTGAACCAAGAAATTTATTATGCAGTGTTTTTATAGTTTCTAACAGGTAACGTTTTTGCTTTTGCTCTTTTTTAAAAGTTATGTATTCTTTTTTACCTGCTGTCATCCGCGATACATCATCTCTCTCAAAAAATTCTTTTATTTCTTTTTTAACATGAAGAGAAAGGTAATTACCTCTGGGACGAATTTTTATGTTGCAATTTTTTAATGACTGGGGATTCAAGATCTTAGTTTTTTTTGCGATGTTTATTAACCGGTACTTTTTCAACAAGTTATACTTCATAGTTTTGTTGTAGATTTTTTTATTTGAATGACTGCCAGCTTCACGATAGTTTTCTTGCAGCTGTCGTTGAAGAACTTCACCAAACAATAATTTTCTTCTTACAGGTTCAGTAACTTTTTGGTTTCCTAATAGCTCATTAACCTTTGAGTTTGGACTTAAAATTCTGCTTTTTTTTAATGTCTTCTCTTTCATTCGTTGATATCTTTTTCTGTACTTCTCAGATGATTTTTTGGATTCCGCAAGTTTTTGTTTTAAATCAAGTATTGTTCTGTACATTTTGGACCGCGATTTTATCACTCTCTTACGTCCCACATTTTTTCTATAGGTTGAATTTCTTGGAGTGGGAGCATTTGAGTTAGAGGGCGTGACTACTGCATTTTGGATGGGGATTGGTGAATGTGGAGGAGAATTATCTATCAGGATTTGATTGAGATTTTTCTGATCCCTTTTGTTTTTTCTGTAATTTTGAGCTCTCTTTCGCCATTCCTTTTTAATTTGTCTATGTTCTCTACTGGTCATATTATCTACCAATTTTGCTGCAAGTTTTCCTTGTTCACGTTTTTTCCTATATTTTAGTTTTTCTTTTTCCCTCATTTCTGCTAATTTTTCGGGATTATTTTTCATTTCTTCTCTTCTCTTTTTGTCATATTCCTTTTTGCGTAGTTTTGCTTCCTCCTTGCTACGTGCCATTTTACTACAAAAAAACAGAACAAATTAAAAAGTATTATTAATCACTCCCTCACTTCAGTTATCACTACCTCACTTGTAAAATTATGAGGGAGTGACTGGTGAGGGAGTGACGAAAATAAAATAAAATTGGCAACTCTGCAACACCGGTTAGAATATTGAGGTTATATTTGCGACAGTAATAATACACCTAAATACATCTTAATTACTGAAATAATTAAAGTTGTAATAATTACCTGGTTTGAAATATTCACAGTGAGGGAGTGACACTACAAAAAAACTTTTGCTACTTTTTATTTATTTATAAAATGCTGTAATTTTTAACAACACAGGTGAGCAGATGTTTTCACTTGATATCAACAGGCCAACTGGTTTCGGCACTGTTGCCAAATAAATTTTAAAAAAGTTTACACCACAATAGCTTTTTCGCGGGAAAACTGAAATATGTGAGGGAGTGAACATTACTTATTGGGACTAAATAAATATAATAATAGGTAGTCGTAATTTATTTATTACTTAACTTCTGACAAGGTTTGCACAACCCCTGGATATACTCCGTATTCTTTCCTAAATAAATACTTATCTAAATAAAATTAGGTCTAAAAAATATGGTTTTAAGAAAAAATTATCAAGTTGGGACATAGTGAGGGAGTGATAAATGACACTTAAAAAAAGTATGATTCCGCCTATGGTGCAAGGTATTTACATCATTTAATTTTTTTTAGCTACTATATCTTATGTACTAAGCCCTGCATAAAAATATTTCCAGCTAACCTTATTTCAAATTCAAAAAATATCCCAGACGGCAAATTGTTTGATTTGCAGAGATTTACCCCTAAACCTAACAGTACAAATTATCTCTAAAACAAATCATTTTATCAAAATTTTATAAGAGACAAATTTTTTTAACAATAAATGATTACCTGAAAAAATACCGTTTGGAAGTCATTGGCGCACGTACTAAAAAATAGGGGGAGTCAGTGATTACTGGACCCCCCTGTTTTGATTATTTGACAATTGTTTTTTGTTTTTTTGGTCTCAAAAAATTTAACTATTTATGTTGAAGTAGTGTACCGAATTTAAACTTAATATCTTATCGATTACTTGAATTATTAAAAAAAATCAGTTTAAATTTCAAACTTTGTCGCCCTGTATATAAAACATGAAGCTCTAAATTGAAAAATGGTATTATGAAAGTCTTATTGTTTTAACTCAAAGAATATATGGTTAACGGATTGACCTCCTTTTCCCGGACACCCTGTATAATAACCGTCGCAACAAACAGTATACGTAGACACTTCCTACATTCAAATGACATTTAATTTGATCATCAAATGACATTTGATTTAATCATCAATATTAATTATTAGAATTTCGGATAAAATTTAATATGCACCTCGGCATTAAAGTCATGTTTTATCACTCACGTGTTTATTTGCCTTGGCTTTCGCCTCGGCAAATAATTTCCACATTCGTGATAAAAAATACGACTTTACTGCCTTGATACACTGAAAGAAATATATGTTTGTTTTAGCAATGTATGTGGTTCATATATGGACTACCACATACATTGCTAAAACAAACATATATTATATTTAGTTTTAACATAATATGTTAAAACTAAATATAAAAATGGTTAAGGTAAATATATTTTATGTTTCATATATGGACTACCACATACATTGCTAAAACAAACATATATTTCTTTCAGTGTACATTAATAACTATTTTTATACTTATATAATTTTTGGGGTACAATGCTTATTTGCTGATGCTTTTTCATTTCGTCTTCTCGTCTTTTCGTCAAAAATTTCGCTTTTAAACCATCCTCTATTTATATGACATAAATATATATTTTAGAGCAGCGTGTCTTAAACTTTTTATGTTAAAATTAAAATAGGTAGGGGTAAAATTAAAATAATAAATCAGTAAACATTTTTAGTGTATTTTACAGTCTAAAGTTTCCCCTCCCAATTATTCGCAGAGAGACATTTGAGGGGACTAAAAATAATATATATAAATCACCCATGCACTACAAATATTTGTTATGGAATTAAAAAAAAATAATTTTTCAGAAATAAACATATATTTTATTCAATATTTAATGTTTGAAAATTTTGATATTATATGAAAATCGTGTTTGTTGTTTAAATTCGGGCACACATTTTGGGAACATAGTCCCCATATCCCTTCGCCGTAGATCGCCCCTGCCCTCAAGGCACACTTTGAGAAACGCAGTTCTAGAGGGGTACACAATTTAATGCTTTTTACAATTCAGGCGCATTTACCATTTTTACATTAGTTGGTGTATTATAAAACATAATTTAATTTCAAAAACACCTTTGGGATTTATAATACCTTTAACATTGTATAATGAAAATTAAAAATCTTTTGAAAAAAGTAAAATTAAATTATTACTAAATTAATACTCTCCCTGCTAATAAGGCCCTTGGTGCGCATCTTTAAAGCATATTTGCATATTTTAACTGTATACATAAGAAATTCCTCTTATAAAGTTATAATTACATTGTTCGATAGAAAAATAAATATGAAGACTTTTTGTTCATGTACCCTTAAACAATGCTTTAGTTAAACAATACTTTATTTTCAAACCATAAATTAACTAAAAATCTCTGTAGGTGTATACGAAAGTGGAACAAGCTAATTTAATCATCAAATAATTGTTATATGTGAACTTTAATTGAGTTAATTTATTTCCTTATCAAATTAGTCGCATAGTTTGCAAACAAACAGAAATATGTATACAAGGTGTTCTTGAAAATACTTAAAAACATTTTTGCCATTTGATCAATGTCAAAAAATAGATTTTATATTAAATGTCAAAAGAACAGGATAAATCATTTCTTGCATATAATATTTTGTTGATACCTCTGCTCTATAACTTTGCATAGTATACTTTATTTGCCGAATAATAGAACTAAGCATAACATAATACTTTTTAGACAATGATTGTCAATAAAAATCAGCAAAATAAAAACCCTTGGATATTTATAGTCGATTTGTTTAATTGGTGGTAAATTTTAAATTTTAAGTGCGTCCGTCATCATGTATGAAAACAACAAATCTCGTCATTAGTGACACATGTCCAGTGCAGGTGACATTTGAGTTTTGTGTGATCGATATTCGAGGGCCCTCGAAAATTATAACACCCCGTACCTGGACACTTGACCGATACTGTTCAATCAACATTTATCATTCATTTGGTTTCGGTTGATTAAGTAAATGTAAAATATGAATATCAAAATATTTCTTTAGTAACTCAAATGACTTATATATCCAAAAAGTACGTTAATAATAGCGACATGGAATTCCATAAATTTGACAAGTTTACTATTTTTTCTTACTATTTTTAAGAGCAACAATAAATAGTTTGTAATTGATATTTAAACAAAATTTATACCTACTACGTTTAACTTTTATAAATCTATAGAAGACACATAAGTGAGTCGTAAAAAATATTTTATATCGCAAAAATATATGAATAAGCTATAAAAATTAAGTGGTTTCTTTTAAAAACGTCTTAGAGTGAATGCAGTTTTTATGCAAAAAAACATAGGGGTATTAGACTGTTTAAGAATATTAACTGTTTTTGTTTCGAAAAGTACCTATATGTAAAATATTATTAAGCCCGCGGTACGTTCCTACCCCTAACCCGCTTAGTTGGCTTCTGGGACTTCTTAGGATGTAACTGTGGAACTAAAGGAGAACTTGTGTATATCGAAAAAATCATCCTGTTAAAATTTGAGAATTTTATAACTGATCAGTACACCAGAAAGACTAAGACTTTTTTTGTGAGAAACTAAATGTTCTACAAAAAAGGTATTTTATTATTTTTTTAGATAAAATCACCCAAAAGTTATTCAAGGTCCAAGTTGAATTTATAGGAAATTTCAAGATCTTCTTGAAACTAACAAACTTATCTTAAAATTTTATAGGTCGTTTTTTGTTTTTTTTCCTTAAATTATTTTTAAACAGTCAAAACGGCATAGATATTTTAAACATATTTACATGTAGATAAATACAAATAACTAAGGATCTTTTAGGAATATTAAAAACTTTGTAAAAGATAATTTAAGAAGAATAAAACGCTCTACAAAAAAGGTCCCATTAAATTTTCGATGAAGTTTGATAGTTTTAAAGAAAAAGTTAAAAAATCTTGAAATTCACTGTTAAATTAACTTTGACTTTAAATGACTTTTGAAAGGGTAAGTTTATCATAAAATGATAAAACCTTTTTTGTAGAACGTTTAATTTTTTACAAAGATACATTTTAGTATTTCTGTTGAGTTATAAAATTTCAAAGATTAAAAAAAACATGTTATTTCATTAATAAAATTACTAATACTTTGTATTAGTATGAAGAGCTCAAATTTTAACAGGCTCAACATTCTAAATAAAATTTTCGATATACTTTTGAAATAAAAATAATCCACTGTTTAAACAGTCTAGTGCACTATGGAAATGTCCATATAACTCAATAGTTATGTTAAGTATCAACAAATTTTTGACTTATAAGGTTTTTAAATTTTAATTAAATAATATACTTATTTATTTTTCTACTTCCCCTTTTAAAACGCGTACATGTTTCCATGACACTAAGTGACCTTTTAAATACACATGGACGGCGGGGGTTTATGACGCTTTAGTCACGGGCTGAAGTTAGCAACATGTTTTTAGACATGGGCTAGTTAGTTTTAAGTTAGTTGACAGTTGTCAAATATCATACAATCGTTGAAGTAATGTCACGGTGCTGTTCTGAGAGGTGATTTTTGGACTTTCTGTGAAACCTCATTTTTTTTATATTCTTGTTAATTAGGTCATATCTAAAATTTTAAGAGCAAAATAAAAAAAATTTGACGGTTAATTTTGTTTAAATTGGATGTTTATTAAAAATATGTATGCACACTTTCAATTCTCCAATTAAAACTTGCGATTCTGAGAGAACAAAAATTATAGAATACGTATACTGAAAATGACAATTCAAACGTCAAATAAATTTTTAATAGATCTAAGTTTCATTGCAACCTTTAAGGATATATTAATTAAGGGAACATAAATGTATACGTCAATGGTTAGATTAAAAGTTTGAACGTTTATTGCAACAAAATAGTAAAATATATAAAAAAAATTGTAAAAACCTTTTTTTTAGTTATGCAAATATTAAATATTTAAATTAAATCGCTAGTTTTAATTGGATAATTGAAAGAGTGCATAATATTTTTAATAAACAGCCAATTAAAACAATTCAAACCGTCAGTTTTTTTTATTTTGCTCTTAAATTCTTAGTTATGACCTAATTAACAAGAATATAAAAAAAATTAGGTTTCACAGAAAGTCCAAAAATCACCTCTCAGAACAGCACCGTGATGTGCCTTTCTTGTAAAATAATACTAAATTTGAAAATTATTTTATTATGACAATACAAAAATACAAAAGCATTAAATAGTTTCTCAACTACAATATTTGAAAAGTTTATATGAACATTGTACTTACCTTTTAATTTCGCCGGAAGTAAACTGGATATAACTTAAATTCGAGCTCGGACTCCACCGTGAAGGGCTCATAAAACATTTTCTTTACTTTCACTGTGAAAAACCATTAATCGATTTTCAAGGAATACATTTTGAATTATAACCTCTACAACACATAAAAATTTGACATTTGACGATACCTAACACAGATTCCTCTATTGTTTTATAGATGGAGCTCTATACAAATATTTGATTTAACATTTTAAGATAATAAGTATTTGCGTAGAAAAAGTATAGTATACAACTCGTTTATAAACTTTCGCAAGCTCGCTCGTGCCTAAATTAAATTCGTGTATAAAATGGCGTTTATCAAATTTGATACATAATATATTATTTTAATGTTTTAAGACTATTTACTAGACTATATGATTAATTAATTTTCTTGATTTTAAATATTGGTAAATAAAGTATACATAATTTGTATCAAGTAATAAAAACTTTTATTAATCATAATTTTGCTATTATTAACTTTTTTGAACTGTCATTTAAAAATTAATTTTAAAAGATAACACAGTACGACAAAATTTGATTTTCTCCCCCCCGTTTTTTAGATCACGTCATTTTTTTTAAGTGCGATCCAATAAAATGTTATCCACGGTATTCGGCACATAATTTAACAGCTTCGATAACAGCTAGACAGTATATTTTTATAAAAAAAATATTCACTGAACAAATGGAAAACCATTAAAATTATTTTAATTATATACAGGGTGTTGCACATTTACGAAATACGGGTGTTTCACGTTCGTGGTCCATTGAGAGTTTCTGAGGAACGGCAAAAGATATCGATTTGAAATTTATAATCAACTTTTTTATTTTAAATAGAACACCCCATATATTTTTACATTTTTAAATTCTACATAAAATTTTGAGTAAAATTACTGTACCATGTCCTATAGCTAAAGTGAATAGTTTTCGAGTTATTAATTTTTTCCGTTATAATATAACAAATGAGCGTCAATAAAAAATTGCATATAACTTTCTTGCTATTAGGTTTGCGGAAATGGGGTGGAATTTTTGGAATCTTAAAGCATTGTTTAAAAAATTCCATGTCAATACCTGTTACATTTAAAATAAAAAAGTTATTAACGTTTCAATTCACCCCAATTTGCCCTGGGTTTTCTCGGAATTTGTTGAAAAATGTTAAAGAATTGACATGTAATTTTTTAAGCAATCTTTTAAGATTCCAAACATTTTACCCCCATATTCGTAAACCTAATAGCAAACATCTACAAAACTATTCACTTTAGGTATAGGAACATGGTAAAGTAGTTTTACTCAGAATTTTAAGTGGAATTTATTTGAAATAACAAAGTTGATGTCACTTCCGGTAAAACCAGAAGTAGCATTTTGTTCAAAACTTAATGGATTATAAACGCTTTTAAATTTCAAATCGATATTTTTTCCGTTCCCCAGAAACTTCTATTGGACCACAAATGTATATCCTGTATATCAAGTGGTGTTTTTAGGTTGTGATACCACTATAGATTCGAAAGCAATGTATCGTAATATATGTAATCGTCAATCTAAAAGATCAAGATTTGTTTCCAACATATATTTAATATAAGATAAATACAAATCTGTTGTTTTATTTAAAAAAATCAAAAATTAAAACCAAAAATATTTTTTTTACTTAAAAAAAATAAAATTGTTTTTATCTTTAAGTATAATTTTTGTATTATGTAAAAACATAAAATATTTGAAGAAAAAAATGATTTATAACAAAATATAGAATTAAAAATCTGTTTAGGTTAAAATAATAAGAATGGCTGTGTAAAAAATTTAAATGACTTGATTTCGTGAAACGGTGAGACTTTATTTTTAAAATCTGTTAAAATTTTTCAAATCGTGTTGTACTGTGTACTGTACAATTTTTTTTAGTATTAGTACCTCATTTTTGACACACCCTGTATAGTATATTTATATTTCAATTGTAAAAATAAGTTTATAAATCAAGTTTTCTAATTTCTTTTAGTGTTAAAGGCGGTGGAAGTTGGTACTACACGTCCGAACAACTCGTCCAAAACATCTTTAAGAACAAAGACGTAGTAGACAGCGCTTCCTCCGCCAAATTGGAGGTGGAGTTTTCTAATGACCTCGATTCCGGTGGTGGCCTCTAGGAAGTTCAAACTTCAAAAAATCATGGACGTGCAGATGACCAGCACGGACGACCGAGAGACGTGGGGCAAAAAAGTCGATTTTTTGCTCAGCGTCATCGGGTTCGCTGTGGATTTGGCCAACGTTTGGAGGTTTCCTTATTTGTGTTACAAGAATGGAGGAGGTAAGAAAAAAGCCAATATACGTTTTATTTAAATAAGATTTAAATATGATTTTAACATTTTTACAATATTTCCAAAAGTGGATTCAATATTGAAAATTAAAGTTAAAACAAATCGCGACCTGAGAATTAGATTGTTCTATCTCCCAAAATTTAAAGAGGAACAAATAGCAGTTTAAAGTTTAATTTATATACAAATGAAATTTTAAAAAGCTGTTTTTCCGTGTCAGATTTTTGAAAGATAGAATCTCCCAAAACCTAAACACGGAAAAACAGCTTTTTAAAATTTCATTTGTATATAAATTAAACTTTAAACTGCTATTTGTTCCTCTTTAAATTTTGGGAGATAGAACAATCTAATTCTCAGGTCGCGAAATATTCAAATAAATCATAAGTAAAAAAATGGCGAATGCGCCGGGGTTACCAATAGAATCCTGACCACTATGATTTTTCAAATATTAACTAATCGTGAAATAGTTATTTGTTTTACAAATGTTGACTTTTTCAACGAGTTTTTAAGTTGCATTAACACGAGCTTGAAGAAAGCTTTTCTCACAAGTATAATACAATGTTTTTTCTGTTTTTTTTTTATTATTTTTAAATACAAAACAAAATAACCTAAAAACTTTTTTGACAGCTGATTGTCAAACGATGCTTTCCGTTTCTTTTCACACAGACCTGTCACTTTTCACACAGAAATGTCACTTTACATTCGTGTTTTGCCTTGGCAATGAAAAGATTCATTTTCTAAGCAACGATGCCATCATGAAAAGTGACTTTTACATAGTGGTCGTAAAAAAAAATAAATTACACACATTATATATCGGGTGTTTAAATTTTAAAAAAATAATTAATATATTATTAATAATTAATATATTATTATTCTATAGAAGTTGCGCTTATACATTTTTTAATTTAATTAGGTTTCCTTGAAGAATTCAACAAATGTTTATTTAATCTTTTCAATTATTCAATTTTGTTAAAATTTAAGCACTTTTTAATTACCTAAAACAATTCATATAATATTCATATATTCATATATATATATATATATTTTACATATAAATTATTTTATTTATTATTTTTTCTTTAAAATATACCGTTGCTTTAAAATAAGATATAGAAATAGGAAACATATTAAATTAAATATTAAATTGTAAAATATATGATACTCCCTCATGGGACCATTTGAAGGTTTTGAGTTTTTAAGCTGTTTTGGTGCATTTTAGGATCCTTTAATGCTGTTTTTGAACTTTTTGAGTTCTTTTTTAAGCTTTTTAGATATTTTTTTTCTTCAGTTTTTGAGCTTTTTGTAAGCTTTTATACTATTTTGACATTTAAAACTTCTGATAATTTTGGTAAATCTGACATCTGACTGAAGTTTAGGAAATTTTTGATATTTAAATTAGGTACTGTTTTAATTTTAAACTACTGTGAGAATTTGTCTTAATATTCTTTAATTTTAAACTATTTTGCGCAGGCATGTGCTCGCTCTGTTTCATCTTACGGTTTCCCCCTTACGCAAAGAAGTTTTACTAAAAATAGTCAAAAATTGTCCCGTTCTAAATTAGAACTTCTAATACCAAATTTTATTAAACTTTTGGCGGTTAAATACTTTCAAAAATGGCGAACGCGCCGGGATTAAAAATAGGAATGCACTGTCAAAATTTTAGCCCTTTAAGTCCAGGAATTGGGAAAGGTAAATTATACATGTTTATATACATTATATACATTGTATATGTATAGATTTCATTTATTGCGCATTATATTTGCTATTAATAGTTATTTATGTCATAAGGCTGAGAAGTCTTTTTGTGCAAAGCACAAAAAGAGACTTCTTAGCCGTTTTATTTGTTCTTATTCTTCTTTGCTTTATTCTACTTTTTAGTTCATTTTTATATCGATCTTATTTATTTCAATATTTCTGTTCGTTATAACACATCTTCTTAGTCCACTTTAATAATTTAAAACTGAACAAAATCGGATCACGCGCAGAGGAAGTAACAAAATCACGATTGTTAAACGATACATAAAATGTACTTACAAGTTATGCAGAAAGCTACCAACCCACTAATAAGAAAAAATTTAGATATTTTGTATAAAATAAGCCCAACTTTTTCATCAGGAAAAATCCCCAAACCCTATTTTAACCCATGGTTTTAAAAATTACCCTTCATAAAACATACTCATAAAATATAGTTAGTTAATTTATATGGATATGCCAATTATCATGATTATCATGATTTTGATGTAAATATTGATATTAAGTAAATTTTAGTTAATCTAACATTAAAAACTATTAATTAAAAATGGATTTATTGACATTTAATATAAATCAACTAAAACTTAAACCCAATTAACACAAAACAAATTTTTGAGCTTTCTGCATAACATAACATAACATTATTATAACATAATAGGAATTGGTTATACAAACATTTTTATTTTATTTAGTTCCAAATTTTACTTTTCAAAACAAGTAGATACAAACATGTGTTGTAGTAAAGTAAAAGAGCACAGTTTCCTGATTGTTTATGTTATCTTTCGTAATATTTTTTATTTTATTTTTTATTAAAAGTATAAAGTAAAGTTAGATAGCTTCAGAGCTGTCAGTAGTTATCGATTTTTTTATTGGTCTCAACGGGTTTTTACAAACTAAGATGTAAAAAACTTGTAGTGTAGTGTAGTGAGCGTTAACAATAATAAAAGTTAAATTATAATTATAATTATAGAACGTTTGAAAATAAAAATATTGTTGTCTCGAAATATTTACTTTATATGCTTAATTTAGAAGTTTATCTTAATATTTTTTAAAAAAATAATCCATTATTTTTTAAATTATATTTATTAATAATCCTCTTAAGATGTACTATTTTAAATTTTAAATATTTTACAATTCACTACAATTTTATTTCCTTTCCTTCCTTTGATTTAATCCATAATTTTTATAAATACATCATACTTAAATTGTATAAAATGAAACTATGGAGGGCGCAAAACAATACATTCTGCATTTCTTTAAAACAATTTTACCTATTTTATTGAACTAAATTCCCTGCTTATTGTAACATCCAAATCCAAGAAGGCAGAACCCGCGAAATAACTACCCAACCTAATGACCGACTTGATTTGAAACTAACTGCACTCATACATCAACAAGTCATCCGTGTCAGTAGTTAACAATGAGAAATTAGTCTTCTTACAAGTTATTAACTGTGCTTATTGACCATTTGGCTTTTCAAGAAAACTTTCACAAAACGAATTTCAAGCACGGGCGCATTCGCAGCAATGTCCTCCTGTCAGAAACCATATCCGTCCTTAGGCCGGAATATTTAATTTCCTGACAAAACACTTTTGACGCATTCGCCGATTTTAAAACTTTGCAAAGCTTGGTTTGATGAAAGGAATTTTGTTGTTTTAAATTTGAATTCTCAAGGACAAAAATGAAAATACTATTTACTTATATAGCTAGTTCTTAAGACAGTGGAGTAAATTGGACATTTTATTAATAAACTAAATTTAGTGTCAAGTGTTGACAATAAACCGTAATTTAAAGACCGCTTGAAAATAAAATTGTTTGTTATAAAAATATTCCTTTATTTCTAAAAAATACTTAAATATTATTATATATTTACGTGTTTTTAATGCATTTTGCAAGAAATTAATGTATTCTTTTTAAATTTATATTTAAAGAGATTTCTGACTTAAGTGTTTGTTAGATATACAGGGTGTCCCAGAACTCGCCCACAGAGAAAAAGGGGGCGTGCCGATAGCAATGGAGATGCCAAATTTAAAAATAAAAAATTTCTAGGTAATAGTGTAATCGAATGAGAGCAAAAAAGCGGCAGCCAATACCGAGAGCTCTCGCCTAGGTTAAACGTAAGAGCTTTAAAAATTGCCAGGAGACGATAGAACATTGTTGTATTAAAAACATTTAAAAATCTTTTGGCCAACTGTATTTACTAAGTTGTCAAAAGCTTTCAAAAATGAGGTTATTAATCTATGACTTATACTTCAGAACGCCAATGTTTTAAAATAACGATTAGGAAAGGGCTGGGAAAAAACTCGCGTTGTCTCCCTGGCGTTGCGCCCACACTAAATAAATAAATAATTATCATTTCAGTATAATCATCTAAGGAAAACATTATTTATAATAACTTAATTTATAACCTAATATAATATTAATGACAGGAGTTTGACAGCAGTGTCAGTGACACTGTGTCACAATGAATTGGATTCCAGTGGACCAAATATTTTACATATTTTTTATTATCAACAATGCAACCTAAGTATCCTAGCAATTTAAAGAATTCCCTATGGCCATCTATTGGGATTGGCTATCGTTTTTTATTCTTATCTCGCTTATCCTTTGCGTTAGACAATTTTAATTTTCAAATATGTGTTTCACGTTACTTTCGGCACGTTCCGGTTTTCTATGTGACGCGAGTTCTGGGACACCCTGTATAGACAGGTTACAATCAAAAATTTTTATTTCATACTTTAGTTATCGTGCATGGAGTGTGAATAAATTAATGGGTTAAATATTCAATAGATGTGTATGCTTTTAAAAAATATTTTAAAAAAGGTTAATCAATTTTTAAACACCTTGTGAATTCTGCGTACGTAAGTTTTTACTTCTATAACTTGTTGTACGACTACACGTTCATTGTTTTAAACAGACAAATGAGGACACAATATCAGGCCACCCTGTATTAAAAAACTACACAGCAAACTAAAATCAAATAAAAAAAATAATTTTGGTAAATAAATAAATAAATAATACTTGTCTTTTAAGGTAGGCTCTTCTTTTAAAAAGTTTCATAAATAAATTACAGTATGCAGTGACAGCAAATTCAGCGGTGACAATGTAGTAAAAATAAAACGTTGCTTTTTTAATTAACAAATTACTATTATATTATAAATTAAAGTATCATTAAAAACTAAAAAGAACATAAAAGTCGCATAAAAGTAAATAAGTACCAATATAAATTGTTAGTTTGTTG